TGAGATGTGTGCATGCGCGGTGAGATGTGTGCATGCGCGGTGAGATGTGTGCATGCGCGGTGAGATGTGTGCATGCGCGGTGAGATGTGTGCATGCGCGGTGAGATGTGTGCATGCGCGGTGAGATGTGTGCATGCGCGGTGAGATGTGTGCATGCGCGGTGAGATGTGTGCATGCGCGGTGAGATGTGTGCATGCGCGGTGAGATGTGTGCATGCGCGGTGAGATGTGTGCATGCGCGGTGAGATGTGTGCATGCGCGGTGAGATGTGTGCATGCGCGGTGAGATGTGTGCATGCGCGGTGAGATGTGTGCATGCGCGGTGAGATGTGTGCATGCGCGGTGAGATGTGTGCATGCGCGGTGAGATGTGTGCATGCGCGGTGAGATGTGTGCATGCGCGGTGAGATGTGTGCATGCGCGGTGAGATGTGTGCATGCGCGGTGAGATGTGTGCATGCGCGGTGAGATGTGTGCATGCGCGGTGAGATGTGTGCATGCGCGGTGAGATGTGTGCATGCGCGGTGAGATGTGTGCATGCGCGGTGAGGTGTGTGCATGCGCGGTGAGGTGTGTGCATGCGCGGTGAGGTGTGTGCATGCGCGGTGAGGTGTGTGCATGCGCGGTGAGGTGTGTGCATGCGCGGTGAGGTGTGTGCATGCGCGGTGAGGTGTGTGCATGCGCGGTGAGGTGTGTGCATGCGCGGTGAGGTGTGTGCATGCGCGGTGAGGTGTGTGCATGCGCGGTGAGATGTGTGCATGCGCGGTGAGATGTGTGCATGCGCGGTGAGGTGTGTGCATGCGCGGTGAGGTGTGTGCATGCGCGGTGAGGTGTGTGCATGCGCGGTGAGATGTGTGCATGCGCGGTGAGATGTGTGCATGCGCGGTGAGATGTGTGCATGCGCGGTGAGGTGTGTGCATGCGCGGTGAGGTGTGTGCATGCGCGGTGAGGTGTGTGCATGCGCGGTGAGGTGTGTGCATGCGCGGTGAGGTGTGTGCATGCGCGGTGAGGTGTGTGCATGCGCGGTGAGGTGTGTGCATGCGCGGTGAGATGTGTGCATGCGCGGTGAGATGTGTGCATGCGCGGTGAGATGTGTGCATGCGCGGTGAGATGTGTGCATGCGCGGTGAGATGTGTGCATGCGCGGTGAGATGTGTGCATGCGCGGTGAGATGTGTGCATGCGCGGTGAGATGTGTGCATGCGCGGTGAGATGTGTGCATGCGCGGTGAGATGTGTGCATGCGCGGTGAGATGTGTGCATGCGCGGTGAGGTGTGTGCATGCGCGGTGAGGTGTGTGCATGCGCGGTGAGGTGTGTGCATGCGCGGTGAGGTGTGTGCATGCGCGGTGAGGTGTGTGCATGCGCGGTGAGGTGTGTGCATGCGCGGTGAGGTGTGTGCATGCGCGGTGAGATGTGTGCATGCGCGGTGAGATGTGTGCATGCGCGGTGAGATGTGTGCATGCGCGGTGAGATGTGTGCATGCGCGGTGAGGTGTGTGCATGCGCGGTGAGGTGTGTGCATGCGCGGTGAGGTGTGTGCATGCGCGGTGAGATGTGTGCATGCGCGGTGAGATGTGTGCATGCGCGGTGAGATGTGTGCATGCGCGGTGAGATGTGTGCATGCGCGGTGAGATGTGTGCATGCGCGGTGAGATGTGTGCATGCGCGGTGAGATGTGTGCATGCGCGGTGAGATGTGTGCATGCGCGGTGAGGTGTGTGCATGCGCGGTGAGGTGTGTGCATGCGCGGTGAGGTGTGTGCATGCGCGGTGAGATGTGTGCATGCGCGGTGAGATGTGTGCATGCGCGGTGAGATGTGTGCATGCGCGGTGAGATGTGTGCATGCGCGGTGAGATGTGTGCATGCGCGGTGAGATGTGTGCATGCGCGGTGAGATGTGTGCATGCGCGGTGAGATGTGTGCATGCGCGGTGAGGTGTGTGCATGCGCGGTGAGGTGTGTGCATGCGCGGTGAGATGTGTGCATGCGCGGTGAGATGTGTGCATGCGCGGTGAGATGTGTGCATGCGCGGTGAGATGTGTGCATGCGCGGTGAGATGTGTGCATGCGCGGTGAGATGTGTGCATGCGCGGTGAGATGTGTGCATGCGCGGTGAGATGTGTGCATGCGCGGTGAGATGTGTGCATGCGCGGTGAGGTGTGTGCATGCGCGGTGAGGTGTGTGCATGCGCGGTGAGATGTGTGCATGCGCGGTGAGATGTGTGCATGCGCGGTGAGATGTGTGCATGCGCGGTGAGATGTGTGCATGCGCGGTGAGATGTGTGCATGCGCGGTGAGATGTGTGCATGCGCGGTGAGGTGTGTGCATGCGCGGTGAGATGTGTGCATGCGCGGTGAGGTGTGTGCATGCGCGGTGAGGTGTGTGCATGCGCGGTGAGGTGTGTGCATGCGCGGTGAGGTGTGTGCATGCGCGGTGAGATGTGTGCATGCGCGGTGAGGTGTGTGCATGCGCGGTGAGGTGTGTGCATGCGCGGTGAGGTGTGTGCATGCGCGGTGAGGTGTGTGCATGCGCGGTGAGGTGTGTGCATGCGCGGTGAGGTGTGTGCATGCGCGGTGAGGTGTGTGCATGCGCGGTGAGGTGTGTGCATGCGCGGTGAGGTGTGTGCATGCGCGGTGAGATGTGTGCATGCGCGGTGAGGTGTGTGCATGTGCGGTGAGATGTGTGCATGCGCGGTGAGATGTGTGCATGCGCGGTGAGATGTGTGCATGCGCGGTGAGATGTGTGCATGCGCGGTGAGGTGTGTGCATGCGCGGTGAGGTGTGTGCATGCGCGGTGAGGTGTGTGCATGCGCGGTGAGGTGTGTGCATGCGCGGTGAGGTGTGTGCATGCGCGGTGAGGTGTGTGCATGCGCGGTGAGGTGTGTGCATGCGCGGTGAGGTGTGTGCATGCGCGGTGAGGTGTGTGCATGCGCGGTGAGGTGTGTGCATGCGCGGTGAGGTGTGTGCATGCGCGGTGAGGTGTGTGCATGCGCGGTGAGGTGTGTGCATGCGCGGTGAGGTGTGTGCATGCGCGGTGAGGTGTGTGCATGCGCGGTGAGGTGTGTGCATGCGCGGTGAGATGTGTGCATGCGCGGTGAGGTGTGTGCATGCGCGGTGAGATGTGTGCATGCGCGGTGAGATGTGTGCATGCGCGGTGAGATGTGTGCATGCGCGGTGAGATGTGTGCATGCGCGGTGAGATGTGTGCATGCGCGGTGAGATGTGTGCATGCGCGGTGAGATGTGTGCATGCGCGGTGAGATGTGTGCATGCGCGGTGAGATGTGTGCATGCGCGGTGAGATGTGTGCATGCGCGGTGAGATGTGTGCATGCGCGGTGAGGTGTGTGTATGCGCTGTGAGGTGTGTGCATGCGCGGTGAGGTGTGTGCATGCGCGGTGAGGTGTGTGCATGCGCGGTGAGGTGTGTGCATGCGCGGTGAGGTGTGTGCATGCGCGGTGAGGTGTGTGCATGCGCGGTGAGATGTGTGCATGCGCGGTGAGATGTGTGCATGCGCGGTGAGATGTGTGCATGCGCGGTGAGATGTGTGCATGCGCGGTGAGGTGTGTGCATGCGCGGTGAGGTGTGTGCATGCGCGGTGAGGTGTGTGCATGCGCGGTGAGATGTGTGCATGCGCGGTGAGATGTGTGCATGCGCGGTGAGATGTGTGCATGCGCGGTGAGATGTGTGCATGCGCGGTGAGATGTGTGCATGCGCGGTGAGATGTGTGCATGCGCGGTGAGATGTGTGCATGCGCGGTGAGATGTGTGCATGCGCGGTGAGATGTGTGCATGCGCGGTGAGATGTGTGCATGCGCGGTGAGATGTGTGCATGCGCGGTGAGATGTGTGCATGCGCGGTGAGGTGTGTGCATGCGCGGTGAGGTGTGTGCATGCGCGGTGAGATGTGTGCATGCGCGGTGAGATGTGTGCATGCGCGGTGAGATGTGTGCATGCGCGGTGAGATGTGTGCATGCGCGGTGAGATGTGTGCATGCGCGGTGAGATGTGTGCATGCACGGTGAGATGTGTGCATGCGCGGTGAGATGTGTGCATGCGCGGTGAGATGTGTGCATGCGCGGTGAGGTGTGTGCATGCGCGGTGAGGTGTGTGCATGCGCGGTGAGATGTGTGCATGCGCGGTGAGATGTGTGCATGCGCGGTGAGATGTGTGCATGCGCGGTGAGATGTGTGCATGCGCGGTGAGATGTGTGCATGCGCGGTGAGATGTGTGCATGCGCGGTGAGGTGTGTGCATGCGCGGTGAGATGTGTGCATGCGCGGTGAGGTGTGTGCATGCGCGGTGAGGTGTGTGCATGCGCGGTGAGGTGTGTGCATGCGCGGTGAGGTGTGTGCATGCGCGGTGAGATGTGTGCATGCGCGGTGAGGTGTGTGCATGCGCGGTGAGGTGTGTGCATGCGCGGTGAGGTGTGTGCATGCGCGGTGAGGTGTGTGCATGCGCGGTGAGGTGTGTGCATGCGCGGTGAGGTGTGTGCATGCGCGGTGAGGTGTGTGCATGCGCGGTGAGGTGTGTGCATGCGCGGTGAGGTGTGTGCATGCGCGGTGAGATGTGTGCATGCGCGGTGAGGTGTGTGCATGCGCGGTGAGATGTGTGCATGCGCGGTGAGATGTGTGCATGCGCGGTGAGATGTGTGCATGCGCGGTGAGATGTGTGCATGCGCGGTGAGGTGTGTGCATGCGCGGTGCATGCGCGGTGAGGTGTGTGCATGCGCGGTGAGGTGTGTGCATGCGCGGTGAGGTGTGTGCATGCGCGGTGAGGTGTGTGAAAGAACTTCACAGGGAGCAACGAGAGTGGGAGAGTGGAAGTGCCTGCAGTGGCAGGTGCAGCGCGCATGGCATGGCATGGCATGGCATAGCATGGCCTGACATGACTCACCAGGTGCAGCGCATGGCATGGCATGGCATGGCATGGCCTGACATGACTCACCAGGTGCAGCGCGCATGGCATGGCCTGACATGACTCACCAGGTGCAGCGCGCATGGCATGGCCTGACATGACTCACCAGGCCCCCCAGTGCAGGCAGCTCGAGCAGAATGGTCTTGATGCCATGCGTGTCCAGCAGCATCTGTGTGGGAGGCAATGTGAGGGCATGCGCACACGGAGGGGCAGCGGAAGACGGGAGAGGGACATAGGTGAGCAAGAAGGATGGGGAATGAGAGTCACGGGCAGGCAGGTCGAGCAGAGAGATCTGCCGCCATGTGTGACCAACAGCACCTGTGTATGGGGGCATGGGTGCAGGCAGGGGCAGGGACGTCGGCGCAGTGAGAATTGATGGGAGGGAGAGATGGGAGGCGGAGTTCGGGGGGGAGATGGGAGAGCAAGAGGGATAACATAGACCTGTGGGATGAGATGAAGGGCAGGCTTGTGTGAAAGGGACTAACATGGCAGCATGGATGAGGCAGCATGGATGAGGCAGCACGGATGAGGCAGCATGGATGAGGCAGCATGGATGAGTCAGCAGTTGAAGTGCAGACTTACGAAGCGCACACACTTTCTTCAGCCACAAACCAACAGCATCTCGAGGCTGTCGTGCCACCAACAGGCTCAACGCATGGCACGACGGCATCACCTGCTGGGCATCACCTGCTGGGCATCACCTGCTGCGCATCACCTGCTGGGCATCACCTGCTGGGCATCACCTGCTGGGCATCACCTGCTGGGCATCACCTGCTGCGCATCACCTGCTGCGCATCACCTGCTGGGCATCACCTGCTGCGCATCACCTGCTGGGCATCACCTGCTGGGCATCACCTGCTGGGCATCACCTGCTGCGCATCACCTGCTGCGCGCCGGTGCCGGAGAGGCGCTTGGCCTTGAAGACGGTGGCATAGTAGCGCGGGGCGAACGATGCTGCCAGCTGGCATGCGGGGAGAGAGGCGGAGTGATGGAAGGGGCACACGCAGAGGAGGGGAACACGTGTGAGGGGCACACGCAACGGAGAGGAACACGTGTGAGGGGCACACGCAACGGAGAGGAACACGTGTGTGGGGCACACGCAACGGAGGGGAACACGTGTGAGGGGCACACGCAAAGGAGGGGAACACGTGTGAGGGGCACACGCAAAGGAGGGGAACACGTGTGAGGGGCACACGCAAAGGAGGGGAACACGTGTGAGGGGCACACGCAAAGGAGGGGAACACGTGTGAGGGGCACACGCAAAGGAGGGGAACACGTGTGAGGGGCACACGCAAAGGAGGGGAACACGTGTAAGCAAGGGGCACGCCAGGGCGGGCTCGGGCCGGGTTGGGACGAGGCTGGGGTGAGTAGTGGCGAGGCAATGCGAGAGCCTTCTGCACGCAACGCAACGCGACCCCGCCTCGCTCGCTCTCAAGCCCCGCTCGCCTGCTGCCTGTCAAGCCCGCTCGCCTGCTGCCTGTCAAGCCCGCTCGCCTTCAATCGGGAAATGCCCATCAACGATTTGCAACAGGGCAAGCCGCAAGCAGACGAGCAGGCATGCATGGTGGGCGTTGTGAAGGCATGTGGGCAGTTGTAGCAGGCATGACAGCGAGCGAGGCAGTTATGCAGAGCTTCTACCCGCTCGACTCGTTGCATGTACATACTTACTCGTTGCATGTACATACTTACTCGTTGCATGTACATACTTACTCGTTGCATGTACATACTTACTCGTTGCAGGTCCATACTTACTCGTTGCATGTACATACTTACTCGTTGCAGGTCCATACTTACTCGTTGCATGTACATACTTACTCGTTGCATGTACATACTTACTCGTTGCATGTACATACTTACTCGTTGCATGTACATACTTACTCGTTGCATGTACATACTTACTCGTTGCATGTACATACTTACTCGTTGCATGTACATACTTACTCGTTGCATGTACATACTTACTCGTTGCATGTACATACTTACTCGTTGCATGTACATACTTACTCGTTGCAGGTCCATACTTACTCGTTGCATGTACATACTTACTCGTTGCAGGTCCATACTTACTCGTTGCATGTACATACTTACTCGTTGCATGTACATACTTACTCGTTGCATGTACATACTTACTCGTTGCATGTACATACTTCCTCGTTGCAGGTCCATACTTACTCGTTGCATGTACATACTTACTCGTTGCATGTACATACTTACTCGTTGCATGTACATACTTACTCGTTGCATGTACATACTTACTCGTTGCATGTACATACTTACTCGTTGCATGTACATACTTACTCGTTGCATGTACATACTTACTCGTTGCAGGTCCATACTTACTCGTTGCATGTACATACTTACTCGTTGCAGGTCCATACTTACTCGTTGCATGTACATACTTACTCGTTGCATGTACATACTTACTCGTTGCATGTACATACTTACTCGTTGCATGTACATACTTACTCGTTGCATGTACATACTTACTCGTTGCATGTACATACTTACTCGTTGCATGTACATACTTACTCGTTGCATGTACATACTTACTCGTTGCATGTACATACTTACTCGTTGCATGTACATACTTACTCGTTGCATGTACATACTTACTCGTTGCATGTACATACTTACTCGTTGCATGTACATACTTACTCGTTGCATGTACATACTTACTCGTTGCATGTACATACTTACTCGTTGCATGTACATACTTACTCGTTGCATGTACATACTTACTCGTTGCATGTACATACTTACTCGTTGCATGTACATACTTACTCGTTGCATGTACATACTTACTCGTTGCATGTACATACTTACTCGTTGCATGTACATACTTACTCGTCCCTCACATGCGATGCATTGATGCATGTGGCGGATCCTTCAAAGCATAAGCACACTTGAAGCCACTAGCGACGATGATTGGACGACTCAGGTGCTTTCTGGGAGTGAGTGCGTGCACTCACTGCACACTGCAGCTCATGGCGCCACTTACCCATTCCTTAACTCACACATCAGGCACATAGAAAACCCCACATGTAGTAGCGCACATACACCGCATCCCAAGCGGCACTAAGGCACACAGTCAATCACACCTGCAATGGCATTGCACCGAGGCTGAAAGGGCACCGTACCAAGGTGGCGGGGCGCACCGTACCAAGGTGACGGGGCGCACCTTATCAAGGAAGAAGTGGAAGTGCAGCGGCGAGAGCAGCCCTGCGAGCATGGGAATGGAGTTGGAGAAGATGGCGCTCAGGTTGTTCACGAACCTGCGCTCATGGGGGGGAGGAGAGGGGGGAGAGGAGGGATTGGGGAGGGGAGAAGGAAATGGGGTGGAAGGTGGAGGGTGGATGAGGAAGGTGTTGTGGATGGGAAGAGGGAGACATGTGCGCATGGCCAAATGATCCATAATAGCATGCGCTGAGAGAGTAATCAGCACTCCCCTGTGTGCTGTGCTCCCATGCCATGCCATGCCATGCCATGCCATGCCATGCCATGCCATGCCATGCCATGTATCCCGCACCACTTGGCACACTGAATGTGTCTTGCCGCTCTGCGCTGCTCATTGTCGACGCGACACATACCAGTGCACCCATGCTATGTCACTGTCACTGTGAGTGTGAAATGCATACTGTACCTGCAAGCCAGCCAGTGCACAATCACACAACACGACCGCACCATGACCAGCAGCAGTGCCACGTGGCTCACTCGGATTGGTCGCCCACGGACTCCAGTGTGCTCCAGGGCATGCGGGCCATGCGGTCCAGCTCGCCGTCCAGGCGCCCCTCCAGCCCCGCCACCAGCACCGCCAGCGCACGCGTCATGCAGCTCGAATACTCCTCCTGCCACGTGGCAGCATGGGAGGAAGTCCAGGGTGGGTGGGGGGTGGGGTGGGGGTGGGAGGGAGTGGTTGGGGCGAAAAGGTCGAGCTTACACATCATGCCACCAACACCGCCAGCCGTCGTGTCATGGCACTTGACAACTCCTCCTGCTCATGCCATGCCATGCCATGCCATGCCTTTGTCAGAACTTAAGCTTAGAATGGATACATTAGTAATGAGCTTGAGGCTCTTTAAGTACATCCAACATGGGCAAGCAATGGATGGGGAAGGGAATCGGGGGCAATCTCTAGGGATTGGGGGTAATCCCAAGTCAATCTCCAGCTGGTGGGTTGGAGATTGCTTGGAGATCACATTTGGGTTTGGTTGGGATGTAGGTGTACACCCAACTAGGGATGTGCAAGGTAACGAACACCTGTTCGTCTCGTCGTGGGTGCCGAGCCGCGACGAACACGAACACGTTCGTGTTCGTTTCGGGGCAAAAACGAACACGAATGTGTTTGTCGCGACTGTCCCGCGATCTACAATTTAGTTGCGGGACATTCTGTTTGAGCTCAAACCTAGTCGCGCTATTCAACAGCAGCCATTACAACCACGCTCCCCACATAGAATGGTTTAGAGTGACGGCGAATGAAGAGAGTCGGGTCAGCAGATGATGGGTGAAAGTCCAATGAGAGAAGGACTTCTTTCACTTTGTTGTGCCATTCAGGAGGGGCTTGCTTGAGGCCTTAAACAGGGCGATTCAGCTTCCAGACAGTGTTGGGAGGGAACTCTCCTGGAAAGCCTTCAGGTCCATCCATGAACACTGTCTCCTTGAGGTGTCCTTGCAGGAACGCCGATGAGGCGCCCATGGATTTTATCTCGAAGTCTTCTCGTGCGGCTACATCCAAGAGCGTGCGAACGGTGGGTGGTTTGGATGTGGGAGAGAATGTCTTGAAGAAATCAAAGTACTGCTGTTGAGTGAATCCCTTGGCCACATAGCGCGCTTTGAACACTAGGGCCTCGTCCGGAAGCTGTTTCACTCGAAACAGCCACTTGCCCCCGACGATGTTAACTCCTGGAGGTGGAGTTTCGTCGTCGAAAGAGTGGTTGCGAGTGAAGGCTTCACACTCAACTTCCATGGCAGCACGCCATTCGGCAGCATGGGGACCCGAGAGAGCCTCTTGGACGGTGAGAGGGATAGGGATGGTCTGGTTCTCCGAGAAGTTCAGTGAGGGTGATTCAGTCATATCGGGGAAGATGTGCGAGAGCTGGGGAATGACAGCGTGAAGATCAGAAAGCTCCTCATGACTATCTTCCAGAAGGGTAGAGGGCAGGGCACATCCCACCCAGCAGGAGGTGTCGGAGTGATCACTGAGTAGCGAATGGCAAGTGCCAGTGGAGGAGCAGGCCCATGCGATCGAGTGCCATGAGCCACCGGAGAAGGTGGTGGAGCGGGTGGTGCTAAGGGGGTGGGGCTTGGGCGGAGGGATCGGCCGTCGCTGGTACATGATCAGGTCGCTCGGCTGTGGGAGAGCGGGTTACTGAGTGGAAGAGGAAACGGAGGGAGGAGGTGGGGCTGGAGGGTTCGACCGCCGATGGTATGTGATTGGTGCGCTTGGTGGTGGGAGCGCAGTTGGTAGAGTGGGAGAGGGGGGAGATGGAGGAGCAGCTGCCGAGGACACCGGCGAGGTCGGGTTAGAGACCTCAAAATGGGGATGGTGCGATGGCAGGAGAGGTTGGAGGTGAGGGAGCTGGTGCAGGCGGAAGTTCAGGAGGGGAATCAAATTCAGCCCACACGAGTGAGGGTGGTCCTAAGGGAGGATCCCCCCCTTACGTGGAGTAGAAAGGGCGGGTCTCATCAAACACAACATCGCGGCTCCGGATTAACTGTTGAAAGGAGGGGTTGAGGAAAAGGTAGTCAGGGAAGTCGGCGTTGTGCCCAAGGTAGATGCATGTTTGAGTCTTGGGGCCGAGTTTGCCGCCTTGCTGCTGCCGTCGAGCCTGAGGGTTGAGGAGGACATAGGCGGTGCAACCCCAGACGCGAAGGGGACGAGCAGTGGGTGTTTTCCCGAGCCAGAGTGTGGTGGGAGTGGTGTCGGGAAGATGCGGGTGGGGTTAAAGGTTGTAGAGGAGGGTGGCATGGTAGAGGGCGTACCCCCAGAGTGAGAGTGGTGCATTGGAGTGGCTGAGGAGGCAGCGAGCGATCTGCACCAATGTGTGATTGCGGCTCTCTTCTATGCCGTTCTGCTGCGGGCTGTCAGGAAGGGTGAAGTTTTGCAGGATGCCTTCTGAGGAGCAGAATGCTTTAAGCTTGTCATTGCAAAATCCACCATCACCATCCGAATGGAGGCGCTTGACCTTGCGGTTAAAGGTGGTCTGTGCCTGATTAACCCACGCCATGATGGTTTCTGGAGTCTCAGCCTTACTGTGGAGGAGGTGCACAGAGACGTAGCGGAAGTGGTCATTAACTATAGCAAGGAAATAGCGATGGCCACCTTGTGCGGGAACAGGGGCAGGGCCCCAGACGTCCATGTGCACTAGGTCCAGCGGGGCTGCCGCGACTGAGGGTGAGGCAGGGTGGGGCTGTTGGCGCAGCTTGCTCTTGGTGCAGTCAAGGCACGTGGGAGCGGGGGAGTCAGGCGGTGGAGGAAGTGAGGCTGGTAGGCCAAGAAGAAGTTTCTTGGAGGCCATGTCAGCAAGCGTGCGGAAGTTTGGGTGCCCGAGCCGATGGTGGTAGAGGATGGTCGGATTAACGAAACTGCGACATGGGCAAGGTGTGATGTCAGCCTGTGCTTGGGTGGTTGACACCTGTGGGATAGGTACACGCAACATCTAGAGGCCGCGACTGTTGAGGGTGAAGCGAGTTACGACCTTGTTTGGTGAGTGGGTCAATGATGTCACAATAGTCATTGTATTCCTACGAAGTTATTTCTAAGCCAATAGATTGTGGCGTAGTGAAGGCACGCACATGCCAGTGACAGTGCCGGATGGGAAGGCGGGGCAAGGGACAGTGGACGAACCCTTGGCAAGAGTGGTGAAGCTTGAATCAGCTCCCAGGAGAGGAATGGGTGTAGAGTAGGGCTTGAAGGAGAGTATCTCCTTGAGCACTGTGTGAGTTAGACTTGGGCATTGGCCCGACCCGACCCGACCCGTTTGGGGCTACCCGAGGGGGGGGTCGGGTCGGGTCGGGTATACCCAACCTCGGGTATTTAGGGTCAGGGTGTATACCCGACCCGCCTTGTACACCTCGGGTATTTAGAACCCGAGGTCGGGTCGGATATACCCGAGGTCGGGTTGGGTATACCCGTTATGGATTATGTTCTGTAATTTGTATTTCTCTACGTGCTTTAGGATTACATTTGTCGAGTTTCACATACCCGACATTGGACACCAGGGTCGGGTACCGGGTATTAAAATACCCGAGCGGGTATACACTTCCTGACCCGTGCGGGTAGTCACTTCGAATATAAGAATCCGCCCCGACTAAAAAGTCGGGTCAGGTCGGGTTACCTGACTGGTCCGAGTAAAATGCCCAAGCCTAGTGTGAGTGGCCCCGCTGTCGAGTATGAATTCTATGTATTGTGGTGCTTGTGATGAGCCGATGTACTGGGAGGTAGCTTCATTAATCATGGCAGTACCAGGAACAGCAAGTTGATACGCACATCAGCAGGAGCACTATCACTAGCACTAGCCGAAGCGGGGTCCTGGACCTCAACTAGGTTGGCCTTACGAGGGCGCATCCAGTTCGGCGGCTTCTTATCAACTCCGTGAATGGCGTACCATTCGTCGTCTTTCTTCTTGAAGCACGTGGCGAGGGGGTGGTTAGTGCCACCACACACTTGTCCCTTGCGGTTGCCATACTTGACGACGTAGGTGCACGGAGGGAAACGGTTGCGCTGAAATGGTGCCGAGGCGACACTTGCTTGAGGCACGGGAGCACGGAGGGCGTAGGCCTTGGCTTGAACCGTGGTGTCTTTCTCGGCTGAGAGGAGGGCGGAGGAGACCTTAGCAAAGGTGAGGTCTCCCGCCGATAGTGTGAGGAGCATCTTCCTCGTAACTTCGTATGCCGAGGTGAGGCCAACAAGAAGGGCTGCTGCCGGTGCTTGCTCGGGGAAGACTACACCAAGTTCCTTGAGTTTGCCATGAATGGATTGAACTTTGAAGATGTAGTCCGCCATGCCCGCCGAGTCCTCGTGGCAGGCCTGGAACATGCTCGGAATGAGAATGGCGACCCCGACGGCCGTCTTGTTCATCAAGCGATCCTGGAGGTGCTTCCATATGGCGTTGGAGGTGGGGTAATTGTGGTAGGTGTTGACGAGTTCGGGAGGCAAAGTGCTGATGAAAACGCTAATGATAGCCGCATCAGCCTTCCTCATGCTCCTTGGTTGCCGCTGCATCGGAAGGATCCGACGGCTCCTTGGCGATGGAAGGTTGTTTTCCCTTGCCATGATTCAGGAGGACGTCCTTGAGGTCCAGCCTTTGAAGTTGGAGCTAGTCCCGTCCGCTTTTAGGTTGAGCGGGGTAATGGGGTTGGCGATGGTGGACGAGGTGAAGGCCATGATGAAGAACCCCTTAAGATTCGCGCGAAGCGCAGCTCTTAAGTCACCGATAGGAACTTGAGGTTTAGGGTTTATGAAAGAGAATTCGAAGAGCTTGGGGTTTAGGGTTTACGAAAGAGAATTTTGAGGTTTAGGGTTTCTGAAGGAGAAAATCCAAGGGACGTGAAGAGCAAAAATCATCAATGTCGGCCGCTTCAAGATATCTCGTAGAAGGATTTTTAGGGCCGACGAGAATAGGTTAAATCGGTCGATTTCGGTAGTGTCTTACTACTAACCCTAATCCCACACACCCCCCCACACACCACCCTCAGCTTCGCGGCTACGCTGCTGCTCAGCTTCACTGCTGCACCTGTTCAGCTGTGGGGAGTA